TCAACCCCTTCTTGCGAGTCCTCTCCTCTGCTGCCAAGTGGAACAGCTCCCTGCCCTCCCCCAAGGGACAGCCCTTCCAATACTTCAAGAGAGCCGTCATGTCCCCCCTCAACCTCTTCTCCAGACTGAACCTTTCCAAGAAGTCCCTCGGCCTATCCTCACAGGGCTCCTTGGTCTCCAGGGCCCCGATCCTCCTCGTCGCTCTCCTCCGCACCGGCTCCGTTCTGTCCACATCCTTTTGGAAGTGATGCCCCCAGAACTGCAGAAAGGGCTTTCACACAGGCTAAATAATCCAGTTTCCGTCCACTTCAACGACCATTTGCAAGTGGATCTTGCCATTTCATGCAATAAAATCCAATTGCGGAATGCGTTGAAAGGGAATGGGGTTATTTCGTGTGTGTGAGAGCACCAACGCCTTGAAAGTCCGGGCTTCCAAGAGCGAAACTGCAGTCCACACACACCTGTTCTGGAAACAGGTGTTGTGGACGGCTAGGAATCAGTGCTACAAATTCAGAAGTCCCTAGATTGATTTCTGAGTGTGCCACAAACTAACAAGAAAGTCAGGGGCAGGCCGCTTTCATCCCGTATCCACAAGCTTTGGATAAAACCACCCAACCTCCCTTTCAGTGCTGTTATAAAGATTTGCAACCAGAATAATACATGTGAAGCATTTTGAACTCTTGCAAGCCCTCTCCAGATGTCAGGTTCTTGGTATTCAGGGCACGGCCTCATTTTAATTTCGGCATTTGAAGCTCCCTGTGTCAATCAGTCTGGTATTTTGTTCGACCCTGCCTCATGGATTCCCCCCCCCCACCCGTTTTTGAATCAAATTTCGATTGGGTTAAATGTAAAAAAAAATAATAATTTGCCTTGGAAGCAGAGAAGCTGTACACAGTATCCTCAATCCTCCACATTTCCTGGCTAAGAGGAACATAAGAACATAAGAGAAGCCAATGTTGGATCAGGCTAGTGGCCCATCCAGTCCAACACTCTGTCACACAGTGGCCAAAAATACCAGGTGCCATCAGGAGGTCCAGCAGTGGGGGGGAAATGCTGTTCAAACAAATTACAAAGATGACCTGACTCCGATGGTAACAAGGGAAAGAAATTATACTCACAAAAACGGAAGCACATCATATCTGACGCATTCATGTAGGGATATCTAACTTATTCTGAACAGATTAACTTCAAAAAGGTTAACTTGCTACAGCTCCAAGCTCAGGTCAGAGAGGTCCTATTATAGTCATTTTGTAGAAAAAGAGGTGCAGGAGCTCATTAGCATAACTCATTAGCATATTAGCATTATGCTAATAACTCATTTGCATATGTCACACCCCTTGACATCACCGGAAGTGTGTCAGAAGGCAACACCCACCGCTCAGGCTCCACTGGACTGTTTTGGATTGCTAGCTCTTGGGGGGGGGGTGCGTGTAAATGTGCAGATCTGTCCTCGCAGAGGAGGGAGAGCTTGTACCCGAATAAAACTTGGTCTTAAAGGTGCCACTGGACTGTTTTGGACCGGGGTGTGGGTGCTCTGCAACTTACCTGGCTGCTTCTTGCTGTGACTGCGGGCTGCTGGGAGCAGGGGACGGGACTTGTTGCATGTGCTTGCCCCCTGGGCTCTTTACTGCCGGAGCTCCGCTCCTGTGCGCTCCGGCAGGAAATGACCCCTGGTCCTATATAAGATGAAACAGAAGACAAGCAAAGGGCCGCAGAGGGTCAACATCTAACCAATCGTCCCACTTCCTCTGGCAGGCAGAGTTACAATATCCAACATTTCCAGCCGCAAAACAAACCAGATCTGACACAGCCTTTAAAGAGAAGGGGGGCGGGAAACCCTCCAAAATGGTAACCTGTCTGTTTCGCATCCTGAGCTGATAGATCTACTGTCTCCTCTCCTTGCAAATCACTGTATTTCCTCTCCAGTGGGCCTGAGACGTCCACGAAACCTTTTCTGCTTTAAACCCGGTCGGGTTTTTTCCGAAATGACATCCGTGCCATTGGGCGGCAGAAGGCGCCGGCCTGCTCCGCGGCCCCCTCGTTCCGATGTGTTTCGCTCCGCATCGCTGGCCCGTTTCACCTTATTAGCTTAACAGCGCGACGTAATTAGATTTCTCTCTGCTGGAATGTTTCTTTGGGGAACGCGGCGAGCACGTCGCCTCTCCAGCCATCTGCCGAAGAGACAGGGGGGCTGTCGAAATTGCCCTTTAAACTGTGCTTGGGCTTGAGGCCTGTGGGTGGGGGGGGGGAGCACAGCCCCTTGGGTCTGTGGGGAGTCTTAGCAACAGCAACAGTGAGCGTGTGGTGAATGTTGGGAGGGCGGAAGGGCAGGCCAGTCATCAGGACCATGGACAGAGCAGAGTGGAAGAGAATGGGAAGGTGTACCTGGGGTTTGGCCACCGTGTGACACACAGTGTTGGACTGGAGGGGCCATTGGCCTGATCCAACATGGCTTCCTTTATTTTCTGATGTCTAGGGCAGTGATGCTCTGTCTTCTTGTTGCTTGGGGGGGCAACAGTGGGAGGGCTTCTGGAGTTCTGGCCCTGCTGGGGGACCTCCCGTTGGCCCCTGGGTTTTGGCCAATGTTCCCTCTAAGCTGTGGAGTCCTGTGAGCAAAAATTCTACTTTGTGAGCTATTGGCATTAAAGTTGTGAGCGGCCAATTTGGCTACTGCCTACATTAGTTTGCTCTGGAGCCATCTTTCCTGAGCTGAGTCAAAAATCTGTGAGCTGGAGGCTCAAAAATGGTGAGCTAGCTCACACTAACTCCGCTTAGAGGGAACGCTGGTTTTTGGCCACTGTGTGACACGGAGTGTTGGACTGGATGGGTCATTGGCCATATGCAACATGGCTTCTCATGTTCTTATGTCTGGGGCAGTGATGCTCTGTACTCTTGGTGCTTGAGGGGCAACAGTGGGAGGGTTTCTGGAGTTCTGGCCCCACTGGTGAACCTCCTGAGGGCACCTGGTATTTTTGGCCACTGTGTGACACAGTGTGTTGGACTGGATGGGCCATTGGCCTGATCCAGCATGGCTTCTCTTATGCTCTTATGTCTGGGGCAGTGATGCTCTGTATTCTTGTTGCTTGGGGAGGCAACAGTGGGAGGGCTTGTGGAGTTCTGGCCCTGCTGCTGTAGTGGTTAAGTGTGCAGGCTCTAATCTGGGAGAACCAGGTTTGATTCCCCACTCCTCCACTTGCAGCTGCTGGATGACCTTGGGCAAGCCATAGTTCTGTCAGAGCTGTTCTCTCGAGGACAGTTCTGGAAAGAGCTCTCTCAGCCCCACCTACCTCACAGGGTGTTTGTTGTGAGGAGGGGAAGGGAAAGGAGTTTGTAAGCCACGCCGTGACTGCAAGTGAAGGGCAGGGTATAAATCCAATTTCTTTTTTCTCCTGATGGCCCCTGGGTTTCAGCCATTGTGTGACAGAGTATTGGACTGGATAGGCCATTGGTCACATCCAACATGGCTTCCCTTATGTTCTTATGGTTGGGGCAGTGATGCTCTGTCTTCTTGGTGCTTGGGAGGCAACAGTGGGAGGGTTTCTGGAGTTCTGGCTTGCTGGTGGACCTCCTGACGGCACCTGGGTTTTGGCCACTGTGTGACACAGAGTGTTGGACTGGATGGGCCACTGGCCAGATCCAACATGGCTTCTCTTATATTCTTATGTGTAAGCTAGCCTGATCTCATCAGCTCTCGGGAGCGACACAGAGTCCTCCCTGGTTCGTACTCGGATGGGAGACCTCCAAGGAATACCAGGTTCGCTAGGCAGAGGCAGGTGATGGCAGACCACATCTAAACATCTCTTGCCTTGACCTGGTCAGTTCTCAGAAGCTAAGAGAAACAGATCAATTTCCAAATCTGAGAAAGGGATGGAACGTCTATTATGTAAGTGGGAGACAAACTTAGAAGAGGTTCAAAATACAGAATGAGAAACCATTTAAAATTGCATATAAAAGTATGGCAGAAGAAGAATGAGAGCAAGCTTTGAATATGAAAGCTTAAGGAATTGATTTGTGTACAAATATAACCCCCTATTTTTTACTGGGAGATATATAATATATAGTTATATAATTCTCTACTGTGAGGTATAGAATAGATTTTTCGTTAAATGTGGTATACAAAGACAGGCATTGGCAAACCACCTCTAAAGCCTCTTCCTCTGATGTGGATAGCCCGGTCTAGCTCATTCTTATCAGATCTTGAAAGCTAAGCAGGGTCAGCCTTGGTTTGTCCTTGGATGGGAGACCACCAAGGAAGTCCAGGGTTGCTACGCAGAGGCAGGCAACGGCAAACCATCTCTTGCCTTGACCTGGAAGGCCCGGGCTAGCCCGTCCTCAGCAGATCTGAGAAGCTAAGCAGGGTCGGCCCTGGTTAGTCTTTGGAAGGGAGACCACCAATGAATACCAGAGGCAAACCGCCTCTGAATGTCCCTTGCATTGAAAACCCGATAAGGGGTCGCCGTAAGTCAGGTCCCAGGTTCAATCCCTGGCATCTCCAGTTGAAAGGACCAGGCGGTAGGGGATGGGAAAGACCTCTGCCTCAGATCCTGGAGAGCTGTAAAGAAGGGCTGTGGCTCAGTGGTAGAGCCTCTGCTCGGCATGCAGAAGGTCCCAGGTTCAGTACCTGACATCTCCAGTTCAAAGGACCAGGCAGGAGGTGATGTGAAAGACCTCTGCCTGAGACTCTGGAGAGCTGTAAAGAGGGGCTGTGGCTCAGTGGCAGAGCCTCTGCTCGGCATGCGGAAGGTCCCAGGTTCAGTCCCCGGCATCTCCAGTTAAAAAGGACCAGCCCGTAGGTGCTGTGAAAGACCTCTCTGCCTGAGACTAGAGAGCGGCCGCCAGTCTAAGTAGAGGATGCTGACCTGGATGGACTGGTTCAGTATAAGGCAGCTTTGTGTGTGTTCACGTGTGTGATGTGGGCATGGGTTTCCTCTGCCCTGAACCCTTGAGCAGTGCCCAGAATGGGGAAAAAAAGTACACATGTTCCTTTCCTTCTTTTGCAGATGTGCAACGGCTTGGAGCAGCCAAGGAAGCAGCAGCGCTCCGATCTCAACGGACCCATCGACAACAATAATATGCCAGAGGTTAGTATTCACACCTGAGCTGCTTCTCGGGTCGCCCGTCCTTTTTTACTTCATTTTTCAGCAGGGGGGTGTTGGCTGTGGATCATCTTCTGCTGTCGATTCCCACTTCAGCCATTTCTGAGACAGACAGACAGACAGACAGACAGACAGACAGAGAGAGAGAGAGAGAGAGAGAGAGAGAGAGAGAGAGAGAGAGAGAGATATGGGGAACGTTCCAGTTTCACAAGGAAAAGAGATGTGATGTAACTTTACATCATCTGCAAACCTGATGGTGGTTTCCAAAGTCAGGGTAGCGTCATGGGCCGCTGAGCTTTTTATGCAGTCAGAGTTCTGGCTGAGCAGAATGTGATCACCCTGGAGTAGCTGCCGCCGCTCATAATAGTCAATTATTCCAGAAATAATAAAGAGGTTATTTTTATGTGAGTCCATTTATTTTCAAAAACTGAATGGGCTAGCTTGCCAATTTTTCCCCCCATTGCTGGCGGGGCTTCTCTGATGGTTTAATGCCCAGCCATTCCACCAGAGGCTGCCTTTAGAGAACATGAATGAAGCAGAGTTTGTTTGCGGTGAGAGCAGGTCTGGCTTATTTGTGTTTCCACACCCCTCCTCCTCCTCTTTCCTCCCTTCCCTCCCTCTCTCCCTCCCTCCTCGCCTCCCTCTCCCTCCTCCCTCCTTCCCTCCTTCCCCCCTCCCTCTCACTCCCCCCCTCCTTTCTTCCCTCCCTCCCTCTCCCTTCTCCTTCCTTCTCTCTCTCTCTCCCTCTCCTTCCCTCCCTCCCTCCCCTGAATTCTTCCTGGTTTGGGAAGTCTTCAGTCTTGCACACAAGTTGTCAGGACTTCCAAATCCAAGCACGCTAACAAATTTGCTACAAACCAGTTTAATCCTGGTTTAGAATCCCGGTTTGCGAGCAAGAAACAAACTGCAATTTGTCGAAGTGGCCAGATATCACACCGAATTACGGTTAGGTCTAAGGGCTTTTCCGCATTTTCTTTTTCCTTGCTTGTTTTTTTTCTGGGTAGGGGGTTTCTGTTTTGCATGTGTGCTACTGCCTCTCGTGGTCGATTCTTTATGTCTGGCCTAAAAACCTGCAGTTTAAATCTGCGGGTAGATATGCCGGACATAAATTGGTGTAATATCGAATCGACCACTAGAGGGAGCAAAACACGTGCAGGACAGACCCCAAACGAAACAGGAACTTACAAGCCAGGAACATTAGAAGGCGGAAAAGCCCAAAGTCATCCTAAACCCGAAAGTCTTTGGTCATGGCTTCAGGAAAGAGGGAGCGTCTGAGGCTGTGAAGGAACCAGTTTTATTTTTTTGCCACTAACAGACTTGCAGTTGGGTCGTGATGTCTGAATATTATAGAGGTCTAGTTCAGATGCTCGAATGCCTTTTTTTGGTAAGCCGCGCTCCGAGTTTTTCTCCTTGAGTTGAAAATTGACTAATGAATAGACGGCTCCTTTCACCCGTTCAGTCGTTTCTCGAGCATGCCTTCTGCTGAAGTCACTCCAAATACTCCTGCTGCTCTTTGAGGGGGAGATGCGGCCCGAAGGATTTCGAAGCATTTCCTGTGGAACAGACAAAAGAGATGCGGGACCGCTTCCCTCTCCCCGCAGTCCCTTTATCCTTCCGCATCGTGGGCTAGCTCACAAAAACAGCCCGACTTAGCTGGCGTGAGATTTTTAATTTGCAGGTGCCTGCTTTTATACCTTCCGGAGGGAGGACGCTTTTCTTCTGTGTGTATCTGCCGTCAACGGGGGAATAATCCTTTGAAGGATTTTGGTTCCGAAAAGAGAAAGTACATAAATAGCCGCTCTTGATTTTAAAAGGGAGAGTTCTATTTATTTTTGATGAATAGCTTGCTTGATCCCCCGAGTCTGGGGAATAACAGTGCTTCGGCGTGAGCCAGGGAACGGTTGGGACGGAGCCCAAGAGTGTGTGGTAGACATCACCAGTGAGCCTTGGACCGTCTTCTGAATATTCGCTCCTGGCGTGGGCCGAGCCACAGTCAGCAGCCAAAGTCCTGGGGTAGCCGATAACCCCTTTCCTTGCTGGAGGGCACCTCACCCTTGCCAGCTTGGACCCCTGAGTTTTGCACTACGAGAATTCGCTTGGAAATGTGTTGCATTGAAATAATTCTCTTGGAAATGTGTTGCTGCTTTGGAGAGGCATCATTGAAGACCCAGGCAAGGCTTGCAAGCTTATGCAGCTGCCCTGTACTGAATCGGGTCCTGGGTGCATCACAGTATTGTCTATTCAGACTGGCAGCGACTCTCTGAGGTCTCAGGCAGAGGTCTTTCAGATCACCGACTGCCTAATGCTTTCTGCTGGAGATGCCGGGGTTTGAATCTGGGACCTTCTGCATGCCAAACAGAGGCTCTTCCACTGAGCCACGGCCCGTCCCCTATAAAACAGGAACCCATGAAGCCGCCTTCTACTGTATCAAACCATCAGTCCGTTGAAGTCAGTATTGTCAGTTCAGACTGGTGTCAGCTCTCCCAAGGTTTTTCACATCACCTACTTCCTGAGCCAGTTTGGTGTAGTGGTTAGGAGCGCAGACCCTAATCTGGGAGAACCAGGTTTGATTCCACATTCCTCCACATGCAGCTGCCAGTGTGGCCTTGGGCCAGTCACAAGTTCTCTCAGAGCTGTTCTCTCAAGGGCAGTCCTCAAAAGAGCTCCCTCAGCCCCGCCTACCTCACAGGGTGTCTGTTGTGGGGAGGGGAAGGGAAAGGAGATTGTAAGCCGCTCTGAGACTCCTTTGGGTAGTGAAGGGCAGGGTATGAATCCAGTCTCTTCTTCTCCTACTAGAGATGCCGGGGATTGAACCTGGGGCCTTCTGCATGCCAAGCAGATGCTCTGCCACTGAGTCACATCCCCCCACCTTTCGTTCCATCCTCTTGATAAAGCCTTTCTGATAAGCAAACTTCACGCTCCATGCCCGGTCTAAACATGGCCCCACCTTCCTTCTGTGGACAGCCGGAATAGTGCCACAGTTTGGTTTGCGATAGTCAGGCACGCAGGACAGGTGGTTGATGTTCTGGCAAAGCCTGGCTTGCTGTTCTGTCAGAACCCAGTAAAGAAAAACAGAAAACAACTGTGAGCGGAATTTCCCGCAAAAATATATATCCAGAAGGAGACTTCAACATAGTGAAATGCATATATAGTCAGAAATGAATCTATTCATATAATCCATCATGGGAAAATACAGAAGCCAGCAAGATCTATAATAGGAAAATACAGAGTCCAAAGTATAAATAGACAAGATAAATATCCAACACTTTTCCTAGGTAATTTTCAGTGTTTCAGTCTTATGGTCCTTCCTCAGGAACAAAGAACTGTGGAAGTACAAAATACGATAGTACTTTTTTTTAACAATATTGCTTTTTCAGCAATATTGCTTTTTTAACAATACTACTTTTTTAAAAACAATATTTCAAAAAGATTGATCCCAGTAATAGAAAAGAGTCCTATTAAATTAATAACATCCGTATACTATTATCACTGTAGCATAGAGTCTCATTAAATCTTACCAACTATTGGGAGTCTCATTCCATTTTCTTATAGGAAAGTGCTATTCTGTTTCTCTGGAAAAGAGAATTCCTCCTTAGAATTTTTTTAAAATTAAGAATATTCATTTAAGAATATTTTAAGAAACAGCACAATTATATGGACCACAAAACCAACAAAACCAGTAAAGAGACATAGACGCTGTGGTCACACACACTGAATAATCTGCAAGATCTATAATAGGAAAATACAGAGTCCAAAGTATAAATAGACAAGATAAATATCCAACACTTTTCCTAGGTAATTTTCAGTGTTTCAGTCTTATGGTCCTTCCTCAGGAACAAAGAACTGTGGAAGTACAAAATACGATAGTACTTTTTTTTAACAATATTGCTTTTTCAGCAATATTGCTTTTTTAACAATACTACTTTTTTAAAAACAATATTTCAAAAAGATTGATCCCAGTAATAGAAAAGAGTCCTATTAAATTAATAACATCCGTATACTATTATCACTGTAGCATAGAGTCTCATTAAATCTTACCAACTATTGGGAGTCTCATTCCATTTTCTTATAGGAAAGTGCTATTCTGTTTCTCTGGAAGAGAGAATTCCTCCTTAGAATTTTTTAAAAATTAAGAATATGTATTTAAGAATATTTTAAGAAACAGCACAATTATATGGACCACAAAACCAACAAAACCAGTAAAGAGACATAGACGCTGTGGTCACACACACTGAATAATCTGCTTTCAATCCTCTTTCCGACTGGATTTTGCTAGTTCACCCAGTAAAATCCAGTTGGAAACTGCACTAAGCATGGACTGAAAGTGGATTATTTAGTGTATGCGACTGCACCCAGAAAATTCTTGGTCCCCAACGTGGCGCCCATTGATACCTTTCCTCTTCCCTGCCAAGTGTTTTTAGACAGTGGGCAGGGCCATGTGGGGCTTTTACCCAGCCAGACTTCTGATTGGCCACTGGAGATTTGATTGGTTGTTTAGATTTTTTAAAAAAGATGTTGCTTTGGCAACAGCTGCCGCCACAGCATGAGGATCGTCACTGTGTGACTAGAAGGGAGTTGCGGCAGCCATTTTGTGTCTGGCTACCTGAGGCAGCCATTTTGTGGCTTCGCCCACCACGCTGTGTCAGAATCCCAAAAAGGTCGGGAACTCCTGGCTTGATACCGTTCTGAGAGCCAGTGTGGTGTAGGGTCTAGTGTTGGGTTCAGGGCGGAGAGCAGCGGCCTGAAATCCTCGCTTGCTGAGAAATTTACTGGATGACCCGGAGCCAGTCATTTGGTCCCGGCCTTGCCTACTTTGCAGGACCCATTGTGCAGTTAAAGTGAAGAAGAGGAGTGCCACGGGGGCTGCCCCGACTCTCTGAGAGGAGGGGCAGAATAAAAAGACAGAAAATGAAGTTAATTCTTCCAGCTCTGAAAACTTGAACACAGTGTAGGAAGTTCAGCTCGGTGCAAAACTGGGGTGAAATCATGCGACAATCTGTTTTGTGATAGATGTCTCCTGTGGCTTGAATCTTGCTCTGGAGTGACACAACGCTCTGTTGTTGTTTTTTAACCCTCTCACAGACCAAGAAAGTGTCGTCCTTCCCAAGTTTTGTCGACGGTGAGTACGTTTTCTCTCTGTTCTGATTTAGAGCTTTTAAAAGTTCCGGGCGGGGGATGCTAAAAGATCTAGAAATGTTTCTCTAGAGCCAGTTTGGTGTAGGGGTTAGGAGCGTGGACTCTAATCTGGGATCTGACTCCCCACTCCTCCACATGCAGCTGCTGGTGTGACCTTGGGCCAGTCACAAGTTCTTTCAGAGCTGTTCTCTCAAGAGCAGTCCTCGGGAGAGCTCTCTCAGCCCCGCCTACCTCACAGGGTGTCTGTTGTGGGGAGGGGGAGGGGAAGAAGATGGTAAGCTGCTCTTAGACTCCTTCGGGTAGTGAAGGGCGGGGTAGAAATCCAGTCTCCTCCTCCTCCTCCTCCTCCTCCTCCTTGCAATCACAGATAATATTTGCTGACTTGCTCAGTTTGCTTCAGTGGTTTTTAAAGTTCGAGCTTATGGCGAACCCTATTCTGTATCCATTAGCCAGTGTGGTGTACTGGTTAGAAAAGGGCAACTAGAATGACAAAAAAAGGTTGGAACACTTTTCCCTATGAAGAAAGGTTGGGGCTCTTTAGCTTGG